GAGGCCTGTAAAAAGGAGCTGCTATTGTCAAAAATTAAAACAGAAGGTTTCATCAGAGGTACAGTGAAGCTTGGGCGCTTTTACAGAGTTGGTAACAAGCACATGTGCAGAGATGGAAAACAGAACAAGAAGAAAAGTACAGAGTCAGATATGACACTGATATTACAGACCATGGAAGCAGTGGAAGGTCTATGCCAAGAAGGGAGATGGAGGGAATTGAGTTCAGGTAAGGGTTCTTCTCTTGCTCCCAACAAGCACTTATGCCTTGAGATATTCATCTAAAGGAAGAGGTTACATGCCTAAGTTCACTCAACTAGGAAAAGCAAAAGGCAAGCAGGTGGGAGTCAATAAGAGCCTGATCCAATGCTCAGTGAAGTCAAAGTTTGTCCTTTGACTTTACTACACTTTATATCAGTCCTAAGGAGGTGTCAAACATGAACATTTGAACATTGTTAGTGTAAAAATGGCTATTCATAATAATGGTAAAGATAAAAGGAAAGGAGGAAAAAACAGGCTAAATAAATCCTTGGGGGAGGAGGGAGGATGGTACCATAGAGGATGGAATATTCCATAGAAGAGGGAGTATGGTACCAAGTGCAGTCACTAATACGCGCAGAAAGTGAGTAAGTAGTTGGATAGGTAAAAGTAGAAGCATGACTGCAGAAAAATGAAATGTGTGGGGGTGAGCTAGGCAATGGAAAGAGTTTTCATCAGCAGAAAGATGGGCATAAAATGCAGGGAGGAGACCAGTTTCCTTACAAGGACAACAAATATTTTTGAGTTATAAATTACAAGAAACTTATTACAATTTGTTATCACTTTTAAGCAATATTAATATGAAAGCACACATAAAACCCTGTTACCTGAATTATGTCTTGCAATATATCCAAGTGCCCAAGCTGCAGCTTCCTTTACTCCCGGGTCAAAATCTTCCAAGCAAATCACAAGTGTATCCAGTGCTCCACAATCAACTATTGCTTGGGCGAGTTGAGGAGAATGTTTACCAACTGCTCTTAACACAAATGCAGCTGCTTTCTTATAAAAACGCTAAAAAATAGAGGAGGATATCTTATTTTTACTAACATTTGCTGCTTCAAAAAACAAAGTAGCTAGAACACGGAAAATGAAATTGCATTATTAGTGATAAATCTCTACAGCAGTAGTACAGAAGGACCCAAATTAGGGCTCCAGTGTACAAGGCAAAGCAGAAACAATTCATATGTGTACAGTCCCCTGCCATAGAGAACACATAATCCAGGATTTTGACAATAGGCTTCTCAGCTTTTGACCTTGAAGGTCCTGGGCAACTGAAAAGTTCTGTTTTAATGCAAGCAGAGTAGCATCCCTGTCTTGACAGGATAGAGCAGCTTGGTGTCTAGATTAGTGGTTCTCAACTTTTTCATATTCAAGGCACACCTCGGAAAATGCCAGCTTTTAGCTGTCACTTGTTTCTTGACTATGGAAAAATAATAGAACAATTCTTCTGTTGCAAAAAATTCATAGAGAACACAACAGACCACACATTTTTGATTTTGGAATCCTATTTGAAATCTCTGAGTTTATCTTGTGAATCATATGTAGGTGTTAGCATACATAACAGTGCTAATAGTAATTACAGTGCTGCAGCACCATAATTGACAATTACTGCTCTAGACCTTATTAGGTCAATGATTCTCAACCAGTGTACTAAGGCACCCAGGGGTGCTGCAAGATCCTTCAAAGGGTGCTTTGGGGTGTAAGGAGACAAGCAGATAAGTGTGGGCTCAGGCTCGGTTCTTGCCTAGCCATTCCTGCACCCCTGCTGCCTGGCCCCTCTGCAAGGATGTAAGCACTGTATAAATTTTTTAAATGGGGTGCCACCATATGTGACACATAGGGGGTGTCTCCCATTTCTCCCATGCAACATCCTAGTAATCAGAACACTCCCCATCCTCATCTGAAACCCTGCAGGGCATTCAAGCCACACCTCCTACCTCACAGGAAAGTAATCTCACCACCAAGCTACAGGCTGCCCTGGTCTCATGGGTGTAGGCAGGGAGGAGAGGGCAATCACTCTACCTTTCTTGATGAAGCTGTGCCACTGTGCTGCAAAGCATGAGATTCATGAGGCCAGGAAGAGACTGCGCATGACTCCATAGTCTGCTGGTTAGGGCACTCTGGTGGGAAATGTGGGTTGGACTCTCCATGGGCAGATGAAGGAATTGAACTCAGCTCTTTCACATTCTGGAGAGGTGTCCTGGTCACTAGAACAGGGCTCAACCTCCAACCTGAAGGCCAAATGCAGCCTGCAGAGCCATGGCATCCAACCCACAAGGCTCCCCATGGTTAGGGAAATTTGGTGGCATGGTAGCAGTGGCAAGTAATACTCCCAACCCCTCCCCCTGCTGCCAGATTCCCAAGCCCCACAGGGCCCAACCAGGTCACACCTCCACCCCCCAACATGGCTGGACTAGGGCCCGGCCAAGCCCACTCTCCCCACTGTGACTGGATCAGAGCCAGGCCATGTCCCCTTGCCCCCTGTGGTCAGATAGAGGCTGGGGCAGGTCTCCTTCCCCTGCAGGGCCAAATCAGGGTTGTGTGGCTCCCCAACCTCCCCACACGACTGGATAAAGCCTCACCCCGCAGCCCTGAACACTAGATCGGGCCCTCCGGCCATATCCAACCTACAGATGGACTGAGCACTATCAATCCAGCCTGAAGGGGAAAAAAGGTTGGGCTTCTGTAAATTGTCATAGCTCTATTAAGTCAATGAAGCCATGACAATGTATAGCAATAGAGGATTTGCCCCAGTACATATGTACATGTGTGTCTGTCTGTGCGTGTGTGCATGCCTGTGTAATTCCTAGTAAATAATTAGGTTTTGGGCAAGCAGACATACTTTTAGGGGTTCCTGTGATTCAGAATACATTTTTTAAAATAAAACACATTTACAAATAAGTTTTGAATACGATATGATCTTTTTACTTTTCTTCACTTAGTTGACAAAACTCTGATTTAAGGTTTGATCCTGTTTAGTGGGTACATGTACAGAAGAAGTTTTACTTAGCGTTTGGAGAATCTGATCCTTTCTATATATATATATATATAAGTGAATAGAATAGATATGTGCTCTTTTGGCCCACAGGAATTATCAAGTTAGTTGTGTGTATTCCTAAACTCTGTATGAACTGGATAATTAGTTTCCTTCACTTGCCCTCAATCACTAAAGCACAGTAGGCTTTCCATGACCTTGCACTAATCTTGCTGATGCCCCAAGTGATTTTAAATCATGACCGTCTCCCAGACACACCAACAGCACAGATAAGATAGTAACATGAAAGATAGAAATCATACAAACTTTATGCAGTTTTTTTTCAAAAAAACAAGATAAGCAAACTACTGTAATTCTCTTTCTTATAAATACAGGTAAATTAACCAATTGCTTATAACTTTGCCTAATAAAAGCCTTACTTTACCTTCCATATAATCCTGGCATACTGGAATGAACAAAAGGTTATTTTGATATTATCAAGTATCATTTATTATAATATTTTATTATGACTGAAGCCATACTTCTCTGAAAAGTAACAATGAAAATCTTTCTTAGTACTTAACACAGCTACTTAGCACAGCTACTGTGCCTTTATTTAGTACCTCATATGAGAGGTACTAAACTTAATGTGCAGTAGGCACATTAATGAAAGTGTAGACACTTTAACATCCTAAGAAACCAAAGCTACAAACTAAATACAGTTAAAATACGGCCACAATTTTAAAAATATCTGCTTTTCTGGTTATCAGGAGGTATATCTGAAAGTTAACCTAGGTTAGGAAACAAACATTGGAACTCATCCAAAAAGTACAGGAAAATGTACTTGCCATGTTTATTTGCGTTACATTACATGATATTTTATTTGACAATCATGAAGATCAAAACCTTTTAATGTATGTTACTGTGTCAGTGTCAGTAATTAGATGTAATGTTTCTTCTGCTGCAAATTTCCAAATGCTCCTATTTGGGTATATTGGCTACATACAGGATCACAGAAGTTCAATGGGAAGAGTACTCGGCCACATCTGAACAGTTGCAAAGGTTCCTCACGTGCATGGATGAGCTCTATCTGACTCAAGAAGTCTATGGACCAACGAGAGGCAAATCACTGCTCAACCTGGTACTGGCAATGAGGGATGATTTAATCAGCGACCTAACTATCAAAGGGAAGCTGGGAGACAGCAACCATGAGCTGATCAATATCACCATAGACCGTAAAGCTGGCAAGTCAGTCAGCAAAGCAGAAGTCCTTGACTTCAGGAAAGCTGACTTTGACAAGCGCAGGAGGCTTGTTGGTGAGGCCCTAAGGGACCTCAACCCAAAGGGGAGGGGAGTTCAGAAAGAGTGGTTGCTTCTCAAGGGAGCAATCCTGGAAGCTCAAGCCATGTCTATCCCACCTTGGAGGAAAGGCAGCAAAAGGGCACAGCAGTCCTTTGGCTCTGCAGGGAACTAGTGGACCTCCTACATCTAAAAAGAAAGACCTGTAAAGAATGGAAGGCTGGATCCACCCTAAAGGAGGAGTAGTCTGCACTGGTCTGGACCTCTAGGGAGAGAACCAAGAAAGCCAAGGCTGCGACTGAACTCCAACTGGCTACACGTATCAAGGACCATAAAAAGTCCTTTTTTAGATATGTGGGGAGCCAGAGGAAAAGCAAGGGTAACATTGGACCCTTGCTAAACCAGATGGGTCAACTGACAACCAACGCTCAGGAAAAAGCCAACCTGCTTAATGGGTATTTTGCGTTGGTTTTTCACCAGCCCCAAGGGACAGCCCTGCTCAATACGGTATGGGACAGCCAAGGCAAGGGAGAATAGTTATCCTTTACCAATGTTGACCATGTGAAGGAACACCTTGAGAGGATGGACACCTTCAAGTCAGCTGGCCCAGGCAGCTTACATCCTAGGGTACTTAAGGAGCTGGCAAGCATCATAGGTCTGCCACTGGCATGGATCTTAGTGACCTAGTGACATAGTGCTTATGGTCAGAAGGGACCTAAACAGATCATCATGTCTGACCCTCTGCCCTGGGCAGGAATGGGTGCCGAGGTCATATCAACCCAGCCAAATATCTATCCAACCTCCTCTTGAAGACCCCCAAGGTAGGAGAGAGTCCCACCTCACTTGGGAGCCCATTCCAGAGCCTGACTGCCCTGACTGTAAAATAATGTCTCCTGATGTCCAGCCTGAACCTTCTCTCTAACAATTTGTGGCTGTTATTCCTAGTAACCCCAGGTGGTGCCCAGGGGAACAGAGCCTCCCCCAATTCCCACTTGTTCCCCCTGGTGAATTTGTAAATGGCCACCAGATCCCCTCTCAGCCTTCTCTTGTGGAGGCTGAATAGGTTCAGGTCCTTTAGCTTCTCCTCATAGGGCCTGCCCTGCTGCCCCTTGACCATGTGGATGGCCCTCCTCTGGACCCTCTTGATGCTATCCACATCCCTCCTGAAGTGCAGTGCCCAGAACTGGATGCAGTACTCCAACTGTGACCTGACCAATCCTGCATATAGGGAAAGGATTACCACCCTGGACGTGCTTGTGATGCATCTGTAGATGCACGACAAGGTGTGGTTAGCCTTACTGACCACTTCCTCACATTGGCAGCTCATGTTCATCCTGGAGTCAACAATGACTCCAAGATCCCTTTCTGCCACCATGTTACAAGAAGGGTGTTCCCCAGCCTATGGGTGTGTTGCTGGTTCCTTTTCCCTAGATGCAGCACCTTGCAGTTGTCTGCGTTGAATTCCATCCTATTCTCATCCACCCACCTCTGAAACCTGTCTAGATCTAGCTGGATTCTGTCCCTCCCCTCCAGTGTGCCTACCTCACCCCACAACTTGGTGTCATCAGCAAATCTGGACAGCGTGCATTCCATGCCCACATCCAGATTGCTGATAAAGATGTTGAACAGTACAGGCCCCAGGACCGAGCCCTGGGGGACTCCACTTCCCACATCCCTCCAGGTCGAAAATGACCCATTCACCACCACCCTCTGGGTGCGACCATCTAGCCAGTTTGCCACCCATCTGACTGTGTAGGCTTCAGTGTTGCAGTCACCAAGTTTTTTTAAGAGAATGTGGTGGGAAACTGTGTCAAAGGCCTTCTTAAAGTTCAGGAAGATGACATTCACCCAACACCCCCGTCCAGGGACTTTGTGACCTGATCATAAAAAGAAACCAGGTGAATCAGGCAGGACCGGCCCTCAATGAACCCAGGTTGGTTGCCCCTGAGCATTACCTCCCCTGCTGGGCCCTTACAGATGTGCTCCTTGATAATTTTCTCAAATGTCTTCCCAAGGACCAAGGTAAGACTGACTGGCCTATAATTGCCAGGGTCCTCCTTTCTCCCCTTTTTGTAAATGGGGACCACATTGGCCCTTTTCCAATCCTCTGGTACCTGGCCAGTGCCCCACAAGCACTCAGAGTCATGCTAGGGGCCCTGCTATGACCCCTGACAATTCCCTCAGCACTCTTGGGTGAAGAGCATCTGGACCTACTGATTTAAACACATCTAGCCCCTCCAAAAGTTCCCTAGCTAGGTCATCCCTTACCTAGGCATGGCAGTGCCTCCCCTGGGTCCTTCTGTAATTCTAGTGCGGGCGTTGTCCCAGTCCCTGTTCAGGAATATGGAGGCAAAGAATTCATTAAAGAGGTCAGCTTTTTCATTTGCCGCAGTCACCAGATTGCCAAGCTTATCCTGCAGGGGCCCCACGTTACCCAGTGCCTTCTTCTTACTTCCTATGTATTTGAAAAAAGACTTTTTATTATCCTTAATTATGGTTGCTAGCCCTAGCTCCATCTTTGCCTTGGCCTTCAAGAACTCATGGCGCTCAGGTGAAGTGCCCAAAGATTGGAAGAAGGCCAATGTGGTGACCATCTTCAAGAAAAGGAGGAAAGTAGATCTGAGGAAACCATCAACCTGAGCTTTATCCCAGGGAAGATCTTGGAAAAAAACACTAAGGAGACCATTCTTGACAAACTGGCTCAAGGCAACTTCCTAAGCAATAGCCAGCATGGGTTTGTTGCGGGCAGGTCTTGCCTGACCAATCTCAACTCCTTCTATGACCAGGTGACATATCACCTGGACAAGGGAGAAGAGATTGACGTCATATATGAGCCATCAAGGTGATGTTGCAGCCGGCAAAGCAAGCAAAACTCTGGCTTGCATCCATAGATGCTTCTCTAGCAAATCCCAGGATGTCATCCTCCCACTGTACTCAGCCTTGGTGAGGCCGCATCTGGAGTACTGCATCCAATTCTGGGCTCCACAATTCAAAAAGGATGTGGAGGAGCTTGAGAGAGTCCAGAGGAGAGCAACGCACATGATCAGAGGGCAGGAAACCAGGCCATATGATGAGAGGCTGAGAGCCATGGGACTCTTCAGCCTGTAAAAGCGCAGGCACAGGGGTGACCTGGTGGCTGCCTATGAGTATATAAGGGGTGTACATCAGGATCTGGGGGAACGTCTGTTCACCAGAGCACCCCATGGAATGACAAGGTCAAACGGTCACAAACTCCTCCAAGACTGTTTCAGGCTGGACATAGGGAAGAACTTCTTTACTGTTTGAGTCCCCAAGGCCTGGAACAGACTGCTGCCAGAGGTGGTGCAAGCTCCTACTCTGGACTCCTTTAAGAATCAATTGGACGTTTATCTTGCTGGGATCTTGTGACCCCTGCTGACTTCCTGCCCCTGGGGCAGGGGGCTGGATTTGATCTTCTGAAGTCCCTTCCAGCCTTAATGTCTATGAAATCTATGAAATTTATTAAATTTCATGTTCACCTTACAACAGTTTGGTATTAATAACCAGTCTGAACCAATTATCAGTACAGCACATCTAAGTATTTCATTTAAAAATCAGCCTCTTACAAAACATTATTTAACAATTTAGAAAAAAACTTATGAATATATTCCAGTTAATGAGTCAAGAATAAGTAGATTTTTATACATTTTACTAAGTCACAATTATTAACACAATTCAACCTGACTTTCTATCAGAAGTTCAATGCACATTTTGTCCATAACTTTAAGTGCAAATATTGCTGCACTAAAGATAGATAAAGATATTTGACTGAGATTTTTTTTCCACTTAGCAGTTAAAAAAGTATTACTTGAGAAAATCACAATTTCTTACATTCTGCTCAGCCAATGAATACACGAGCTGTGGAAGAATGTCTCCTTTAACAACTGCCTCTGCCAGGTCATCATTATAATTGGCGAGTCTCCCAAGAGCCAAAGCAGCCGTCTGTTGAATAGTTGGGACCACATCCAGCAGAAGAGGCCTCAGCAAAGACATCACACCTGAGTTACATTGGGAAGAAAAAAGGCCATACAGTAAGCAGAGATCTATATAAATACTTGTGGGTTCTTTCATAAAAACCTGTTATATATACACACTTAGAGTATATATTGTGGGAAGTATATACTAGTTCATATATTCCATGGAAAGCAAACCTGACATTCTCGCTAATAATCTATAATGTTCCTGCTTCTTTTCCACAACTTTAATTTTTAAATATAATCAGAAACATTTACAAACTCAAGCTGCTTTAATCTGTATTTTAAAAATATAACAAATATGTTAACAAAGAAATGTAAATATACACAGGAAATTCTACCTTGAGCTCCTGGTGATTAAACATTAGCATGTCACTCATGATTTATACAGCCACCTCAACCTCTTGATGGAATTATACCAGATTACATTACATATATTATAAAGTGACTAATTTGGGAAGCGATAGCTGTAATATATTGCTCTCTAGATAGAAGATTTATTAAAATGTCATTACAATAATTATTTATTATTTCATTATGGTGGTGTCCACAATGTGCTAGCCAAACATAGACCATGAACAGGCATTACATTTGTGCTGGGAGAAAAGACCAGCACTAAAAGAGGGGGCATAGCCATTCAAGAGATTTCTTGTGGAAGAGAACGGGCTCTTCCACAAGTTAAATCAGACATCTATGAGGAAAATCTCACTCTTTCTGACCTAACCTGAGTGGTTGTACACATCTCTCAAATGTAGAGGACACCCAATATCCTACCATTCTCTGTTCTCCTCTTCTCCTTCCAAGGAAGGGAGGGAGAACACTAGGGGCTGAAACCCTCCCCCTCTGTCTGGGGCAGCTGCGCTTAATTACCAACTGAGAGCCTGCCCCCTTCCCAGACAGAGGAGAGAGCAGGCTATCAATTAACCGGCTTCCCTAAGGGTGAGGGTGGTCCAGGATGCAGTTCTTTAGGCTAAGTACAGACAGTTAAAAAGCCTAAGGCTGAATCAATTCAATCTTTGCAGGTTAGTCTAAGCAGCGTAGATTGAACTGACAAGCAAATGAACAGACATTCACTTTTGATTCTGAAAATGCAACCACATGCCAGCAGTGGCTCAGGTCAGAAGCCAAGGGATGCTAGAGCACACCTTCCTGCTCTGCTGGAGCAGACAGCTTGGGCCAAGGCTAGCCTGTCCATTCTGTGAGGGGAGGCTTGCTGGGAAGGTGCAATGCATCCTGGGATGCTGGGGGACTGTGAGTTAACTTGAATCTGGAGCAGCTCTGGAGCAGAAGTTCAATAAACCAATTTAAATTAAATAAGTTAATTCTGTTACTACATCCATCCAGATTTATCTTAAACTAGTTTCAGCCATTCTGAAAACAGTTTATGTGCACTGAACTTTTATTGTGTTATAGATTTGAACCAGCTTCTGATCACTTATAACAATTTATGTGTCATTTCTGTCCCTAGCCCTAGTGCCCCTTGGCTGCAGAGCTTGCCTGTGAAGCTCTCCATCCAGGGGGCTGGAACACATGTATGCGCCAGCTCCTCGGTTACTTTGTAGAACTTTACTTTCTTCTACTTGTAGAAATGAATACCTGTCCACAGCTATAAAAAGGTAGAGTCCCTAACCCAAGGAGTATATATAAAAAATGTACACTGCTGACTGTAGAGTTTGGATACATTGTTCCTGAAAATAGGCAGAGATAAAATAATTTCATAAGAAACATTTATTATCCATCAGAATCACAAATGCTAATTAAAAATATAAATAAATCCATGATGCCTAGATTAAACAATTTGAAAGGGAGGAGACCATATTTACTGTACTAGTAGTGATTCTTTGAAAATGTTTCCTCCAAGTGTTGATACCAATAAGATGTGTTACTTAATGTTCCCGAACTGTAAGAACTCCAGCTGAAAAGCAATGGCTCAAAGTGGCAAGAGTGCTGAGCCCAGCTCAGTCATTCAGGGTCCTGGCTACATATATATACACCAATTACTTCAGTTCTTTCAGTTATACTAGTTTTCACCAGTTAAGAATGTAGTCTACTGTGGTCATGTCTACACGTTTATTAAAGAGCTGTAGTTACTGCACATTTAGTTTAGTACTTCCTTAATGAAGTACTAACTGACTGTGCAGTAAATACATTTACTATGCAGTAGCACCAGTGCAAGGTTTTTTGTGACGGTTAATGCACAGTAGCCTAATGACACTGTGCACTAGCTTATTAGAATGGTTTGTGACCAGCACACAATTGTGCAGTGTTATTAGGCTACTGCACAATAAGTGTATCATGTCAACACACACTGTCTATAGCAACAAGGGAAACAAAAGGGAGTACTTGCAGGGACTTCAAGAGTTCATCAACTTTGTCAACACTATATTGAGGTTCCACAATGGAGTAAGTTCTCTTTCAGAGTCTTGTGATGATAGGATGACTGAAAATTTTAGAATTGTCTATTGGCAAATGGTACATACTGGCCATGTATAGACAAAACAAGAGGCATGTGTGCAAGCAGGCACACATAAAGCAGGCTAAATGCTTTTGCTTTAATGGTGTCAGTTTTTGCATGCCTCGGCAGTTTTTGCATGCCTCAGCATGCCTTGGCAGCATGTTGCGCATTAATTCCAGCCGCTGTAAGAAATTCGGTGGGGTAATGCACCTTAAATGACTTGGGGTGCAACAAACTAAAACTCCTTTGAGTTTGTGACGATGACTCCTTTGAGTTTTAGTTTGCTGGCCCTACAGCCACGGAGCACAGCACCGGGCTCTGTGCAGCTCCACAACTCTGCAGGAAGCCCTGCAGGCAGCCTGAGAGCAACCCAGGAAAGCAGCTCCACCCAAGAAAAGCAGTGAGCCTGATCTTTCTTTTTTTTCCCCCCCTGGAGACTGCCTGAGCTACACAGGGGCCCGGTGCTTCCCTCCACAGCTGTGGTATTCCCCAGGACCACCTGAGCTGGGTGCCTGTGGGTGGGTGCCCCCTGGGGAGGGGGTGGGGTCTGCAGCTACCATGGAGGGAAGAAACATTCCCCCCCCCCACAGGCCAAGAATGGCTCCATCTGCCAGCAGCTTGCCCTCCCCTCCCTGCTGGAGAGGCAGGTAAGTAAGCAGGGTGTGTGCACGACACAGGGGTTTAATCAGCCCTAAATTGAAGCGGTGTTTTTTAAAACCCCCCACTTCAGTTTAGGGCCCCTGTTTTGTCTACACACATCCACTGGTGTTAGACAGGCACATCTTGACAAAAGACAAAGGGAAGTTGAGATTAAGAATGAAGAAAAGTTAGAGCTAGATTATGTGGCTGCACGATATAGAGACAGACTGGGTATGTCTACATGTGACTATTGATCTGACAGGATAAACTCCTGCACAGTTCATGTTGGAGTTTATTGCTCCTGGGTGCAGTGTTTATGCATGCACCTGGGACTGCAGCACATTGAACCAGAGCAGTGCAGCCCTGACTGCCGGGGACCCTGGGGGTCAGTCTGCAAGCCCAAGGTTGTTCCTGCCTGGCTTAAGGTGCTACAGAGGGGCTGACTGGGGCACAAAGATCTACAGGTATCCAGCAGGCAGCCCCACACTGTAGCATTCTTGTGCCCCAGTTAGCTCTGGTCACCATCTACATGTTCATTGTGGCAGAGTAGATAACTCTCCCATAGAATAGTACTTGTGATGGGCAGTACTATCCTATGGTGGAGTTAATTAATTTACTCCGCCTAATAGCACCACTCATGTAGACACTGACACTTCACTGTGGAACTAATTAGGCAGTACATGTGTTGTGTAGATGTACCCACTATTACCAACTCTGTACCAAATCTACCCCATCATCAAAGAAGAGATGAATTCAGGCTTAGCACCAATGAAACTGTCACAGGGTGTTTAGTGCCTGGAGCTGAGGTTCTCACAACCAGTGAAGCCTCTAAGCCCAACAATGGTTCCAGTGGCACTACAGACACAGACCCTAATTTGTTTTAAACCAAGTTCTTTGATGCCTGTCATGTCTCAATGAGTCTGCCCAATAACTATTGTTTAACACAGAAAGGCCCTACAAACCACTCAGCAATAGGTCTCCCTCAGAAAAAACACATAGAAGGTTCCCCCACCTCTGGAAAAACAAAACCCACCGTTTGACCCCACCCTTATCATGCAAGTTTCTGGGAGTAGGACTAACCCAAAAAGTCTAAATCTTGAAGCATGGGGATACTGTACACAAGACACGATGGTGCTTTAGAGTGGTTCTCAGAGTGTAAAAGTGCCCTGAGGCACTAGAGGTCACCTCATCTCAGAACATTTGCTTCAAGAGTTGGTGTTTAACTACTCTGGTGGGCACTACTGCCCATATCCAGCAGGTATGGGCACTAGGTGAAATATTCACAAGTCCGTAGAAAGAGAAAGAGAAAACATTCAAATTGTAATCTCTGCATGACATTATGGAGTCACCAGATAGTTAATGGCTCTGTAGTTAATATTACATCAAATTCTGTTCTGAATGAGACAATTGCAGCCTCCATACCATCCTTTGACATGGCCCAACAGAAGTAGGAACAGGGCTCAGGAGTCCCAACAAACCGAGGTCTGATCCTCCAATGTGCTGGAGTCAATGAGAATTTCACTCACCACTCCACAGGAGACACAAGTTGGCCACCCAACAAATATCTTCTCACAAATTGGCCAGAAAGGCCTTTACCACCATAATTAAATAAATCATACACCATTTCAAAATGTGCTTGGTGCCTTATAGTCTAAATGAAGAGACATGACTTAGTGCCTACCCCAAAGATCTTAAGTGCTCATTAATTATTTTATAACCTTATCCTCTGACAAATCCCTATTACTGCTGCATGAAAAGATATTGGGTTCACATCCAAGAATGTTCTGTTCTGTTTCCTGTCTAAAGTGATATGTTACATGCTGATACTCCAGGGCTGAAACAACACAGAATTCCCACAGTGTGAGCAAGGATTGTTCAGGACCTCGAGGGAAAGTTGCTTTCTCTTGCTCTCTCTCACTCTTGCTCTGAC